AGAATGCCGGAGAACTGAGCAGCAGTCATCAACCGAAGCGGAGTTCGCGAACCGAAGCAAACTTTTGTGAACTCTTCTGTTTGCGAACCGAGTTGTTCGTGAACAGAAGCGTTCGTGAACCGAAGTATTACTGTATTTATTCTAATAATAGTCAGGGGGACAATCCAAACAGTAGACAATTTTGTCCCCTTGACGTTTATCAGACTGAAGTTATATCTGTACCTGTTAGCAGTGGTCCACTGGTTTAAATTTTTGTTACATTACACTACAAGCCAGGAAACTGTGAAGATCCTCTGGGGTGCAGAAGCTGCCTGCCTGGAAAGCAGATTATTTACATCAACATCAATACTTTAAGATAACAATACCAGTGTGATAACACAATGGGCCCCGGGCTATTTTCCCATTTACCATAGCAATAAAAACTGACAGGTGTCATAAACTTTTTTATCTTTTAGAGTTTAAATGTCATCTTTATTTTTTGAGAAATCTCTTGGAGGTTAACTGTAATATCATGTGATTAATAAAAGAAGAGTAATTACTCCTACTCTTATTGCAACTACATCTTTTTTTTTTATTAAAGTTTCCAGGCAAGAATTTTGTAAAAACTCTTGGGATAAGCACTTAATCGTCTATTCCATTAAAGTAAAGAACCTGTAGGTAAGATCAATTTACCCCAGAAGAGATTAAGGCAAGGATATAATAGGGAGTTGGGTGGCAAAATTGTGTACAACAGAGACATCCCTATGTGCCCAGTTGAAGATTTGTGTCCTTGGTGCTGTTTGCTTCAATGTTCAATATACTGTAATTTGTATTCTCTTTAAATTGATTTGGGAGCATGCATCTTATTGTAATTATTAAATGGAAGGCAACACCACACATCATATTGTCCATCATTACTCATTTGTTTATTTAATGATCATTCCATATACTTGAATACATTCACGAAAATGTTATCTATAACTCATCAGGTGGAGTGGTGGAAATATAACACATGGTTCTCAAAGTTCTGTGGTCTGTAGACCAAACCATGTCACATATACAGCCATCCGAGACTTCTTCCAGTTCTTAGCAAGAAAACAAAATCATCCCCTATTAATATAATCCTATACACAGCGCAAAATTGTGCGCAATTACTCACAGCACACACATCCCTATGAGTCCAAATAGGCCAGTTGAAGGTTTGTGCACATGGTGCTGTGTGTTTGCTTTAATGTTCAATATAACTTATATACTCTTTAAACTGATTGGGGTGGGGCAGGTAATACAACATACAGGCCAAAGTGAATCCTATGTAGTCTTTTCAGGTCCCCTGCTGGTGCACTTGGCTCCTTCCTCCTGCTGAGTGCCTCCATAGACATACAGCGCATGGCTCAGCCCCACCCCCGTTCCCTCTTCACTAGCCTTGAATGTCAGCAGTGGGAGCCACTGCTGTTACTGAGCCAGTGAGGAGGGAGACAGCCGGGAGAGCAACTGCTCTCATGTACATCCCTGGGTTGAGATCAGACTCAGGTAAGTACTAGGGAGGGTTGGGAGAGGAGCTGCACACAGACCAGGGGCATATTTACCATAAGACAAACAAGGCATTTGCCTAGGCCGCATTTTTTAGGGGGGCAGCACCGCCTCCCTAGAAGAAGGGACGGAAGAAGGGACACATGCGGCTTGGGGACCAGATGGGATTTGAGAGAGGCTGCGGGCTGCTTGACTCTTGTTCCTGGGGATGTCCATAACTGTGAGGGTGAGTGTCTTTCTCTCTCTCACTGGGAGGGGAGTGGCCAGCATATGGGGGTGATGGTAGTGGAAGGTTCTCTCGGGTGGGTAGGGGCAGGGTTATTGTTGGTCAATGTCAGGCTCTCTCCGAGGGGAGGGGGGGTGTCAAATTTTGTGTTGCCTAGGGCAGCACAAAACCTAAATACACTAGTGACATAGACAGTTATTTGTCTTCATGCATAGAATGTATAAAGGTAAAAAACTTCAGTGTTTAGAACCACTTTAAATGGAAGGCAAACCACATATCATATTGCCTATCATTACGCATTTGTTTACTCAACAAACATTCCGAATGTTTGTATACATTGACCAAAATATTTTCCATTGGGTTCAAATAACCCTCCATGTGGAATGGTGAAGAGATATAACTCATCATTCTCAAAGTTCTGTGGTCCGTAGACTAAGCTATGTTACACATGCAGTGAGCCATCTGTTACTGCTTCCATTTCGAAGCAAGAAAAAGCCATAGACTATTAATATAATTCTGAACACAGTAACTGCTCATATTGAAATAATCTTTTTGAAAAGCGCTAACCTTTTAACAAACAGAACAGCATACTTTGCAAATGTGTTTATATGTAAAATGTCCGTTTCAATAAGTGAGCACTTTTGTTGAGCAATCAATAAATGATGTCTGGATGGACAACTTAATTTGCTTGCCAAGTTTGATTTTCAATCATTGTTCTTTGTTTTTGTTTTTAATTGTTATTGTATTTTCACCTTTTCCTTCCTGCAGCTTTACTATGATGCCTCCATGCCCTCTATTCCTCTATTACGCTCTTTGTTTAATTTGGACAAAGGTAGTATAAATATGGCAATCGGAAACCCAGATCTAAAGAGATTCAGGAATAGCAATATTTTTATTGCATGGGTATGATTAATCTTAAGTTTGAATGAAAAGAAATTCATGATTAAATCTGAGCTCCAGCCAGATAGAAGGAGAGAGCAGAATGATACAGTGAGGTTTATTCACTGAAGCTGGAAAGTGCAAATCAGGCTGCATAGAAACCAATCATTTCTAACTTCAGCTTGTTCAATTAAGCTTTGGCAATAAGACCTGGAAGCTGATTGGTTTCTATGCAGAAGTGAGCCTGATTTTGCACTCTCGAGCTTTAGTAAATAAACCTCAAAGATGGGTTCATCAGTGTGTTTCTTCTCCCTTTACTCTCTAGTTACCAGCTTCGGGAGGGACAGGAACTGTAACCATTAATTAACTGCAGTGAGAGAAAAACATCATGGCTCTTTCCCTGCCAAACAGGACTGTGTTGTTTGGCAGAGCTGTGCAAGTAGCTGATTTACTAAAACTGGAGAGGACAAATTTGGTGCAGCTGTGCATGGCAGCCAATCAGCTTCTAATGTCAGCTTGTTCAGTTAAGCTTTGACAAAAAAAAAACTAAAAGCTGATTGGTGTCTATGCAGCACTGCACCAGATTTTGCACTTTCCAGTTTTAGTAAATCAATCCCAAAGTCTATTGACAGGAAAAAGTGCTACAATACATTTTTTTCTTGTGAATTAACCTGGTTTTCAGAAGTTTAGCTTTAACCCACAGTTATAACATTTCATTAAATGAACTGGCACAACCTAATAATTTTAAAAATAATTACCATTAAAAAAGATTTACAATAAAATGTGTTATATCATCACAATACTTATATCTGACTTGCAATTAACTGTTTTTAATGTTTAATGAAGGTATTAGAGCTTATAGTTTCTGTATGACCTGGTGCCTTTCACATGAGATGTCCACAGCCTGATGTATGCAATTATGCACATTTACAAAAAGATCAGCATTGGTAGTTTTTCCTATAGTTATACAACTTTCTGCAATTAGGAAAGTGCCAATATAGCTGCCCCTTGGCTTTCACTTGTTTATGAGTCTGTTTGGTAAGTGCGGCGATTGTCTCCGATTAGCTGAGTTTTCTCGTTAGCATTTGTTGGCTGCATCACAATAGGAGTATAACCATCTAAAAAAACAAGCAGAGAACATTTAAAATATTTTCACTTGAAAACATATTACATTTTATTTGATGAAAGTATGGAGTTTCAGTCCCATCTAAACTAACTAATAGGTAAAGCAGATCTAATTCCATTCACTAAAATCTCATGTATGCTTTAGCATGTTAAAGGATAAGTTGACCTTTCCTAACATGCTACATGTTACACCTGTATTCAGGGTGTAACATGTAACATGTTACTGATGCAGAAGCCCTCCGGATCCTCTCCCTGCACCCGCTGTCACAATTTAAATTAACTGCAGCCGTGCGAGGCACCGCCCACTCGACCACGTCATTCATTCACAGGGTTCTGTGAATAGGAGAACTACAACTACCTTCAACCACTGCGACCGATGGCTTGTAGATTTCAAAGAACTACCAGGGTGCTAATTAGTGCTCTAGGTACTTCGTTGATGCTTGCTACAATTCAGTAACTATCTGACCATATCTTAGCCAGTCTGCAGAAGCCTGGGATTGCATCTGTGATCTGCTGATTGTGGGTGAAATGCTTTACAGGCTCCTATTAAAAAATATAATACATGCACTTTTTCTTACCTGCAAAAAGATGTGCATTTATTATTTTGTTTTACAAAGGTGAACTTATCTTTTCACTTCATTTAAAAATAGTTTTCACTTTTTTTAATCTTTTAAATCTTCATCTCTTATTCAGTGTCTGGTGATCCTACTATGCAGGTCCTTGATCAGGCACTGTTATTGTGTAATAACTGTCTCCCATTTGTGCTCCCTGTCACTGGAACTACTGACGCACATTGCACAGGCTTAGTCCACTACTGTTAATCTCTTCAAGTGAGTAAATCAGAGAAATGGGTGATGGAACAGGTACAGTATATTTTCACTCTGTTCTTTTAATTGGAACCCTTTTTTCCTTGGCTACAAAGCTTCTCTAAGCTAGTCACACACACATTACAATGTGATTACAAAGTTTCTTTTAGATTTACTAATAACTATGTATTGTGAGGGCCTACCAAACTGGATATAAACTGAATGAATGTTTTTGGTAGGCCCCCACACTAAATAGCAGTTTCTAAATCTAAAGAAGGCTGGGAAACAAATGAAACCAGCTTTGGATGTACAAAGGTTTTTCAGACAGGCCTTAGGAATGGCCACGTACATGTTTTCCCATTTTTAAAATCATTCTACATCTGTATTGTGACCTGTATTAGACCAATGGGACTTAATATTATACAAAACTTTATCAGTCCTATTCAGTAAATTAAATTCCAAATCAGGGGCGAACTGACAACTCATGGGGCCCCCGGGCAATAGGGGATCATGGGGCCCCTGTGTCCTTACCGAAACTCAAAAAATCCTATGAAAAAGGTACCAGGGGCATCTCATGGGGCCCCCTACTGACCCTGGGCCCTCGGGCAGTGCCCGAGTTTCCAAATGGTCAGTCCGCCCCTGTTCCAAATTTCAAACAGCCCATACATTTGAAAAAGTTCCCTAAAATCAGCTATTCCAAAGTAAGTGTGAAAAATTAAAAAGCAGAAGAAAGGTAGTGCTAAAATTATTTTGTTAACAGTAAAAAAATATACACTGCTCAAAAAAATTAAAGGAACACTTTTTAATCAGAGTATTGCATCAAGTCAATTAAACTCCTAGGATATTGAACTGGTCAGGTAAGTAGCAGAGGGGGTTGTTAATTAGTTTCAGCTGCTTTGGTATTAATTAAATTAACAACAGGTGCACTAGATGGGCAACAATGAGACAAACCCCAAAACAGAAATGGTTTTACAGGTGGAGGCCACTGACACTTTTTTCCATACTCATCTTTTTTGACTGTTTTTCACTAGTTTTGAATTTGGACCCTACAGAGGTTGCAGTCCAACTCCTCCAGGATGGCACATCAATACATGCCATTGCCAGAATGTTTGCTGTGTTTCCTAGAACAGTCTCAAGAGCATGGAGCAGTTTCCAGGAGGCATGCATTTACTTTAGGAAAGCTGGACAGAGCTGTAGAAGGTCCTAAACCCACCAGCAGGACCTGTATCTGCTCCTTTGTGCATGGAGGAACTGGATGACCGTTTTGGTGGCGGGTCAGTGATGGTCTGGGGAGGCATATCCATTGAGGGATGCACAGACCTCTACAGGCTAGACAATGGCACCCTGACTGCCATTAGGTATCAGGATGAAATCCTTGGACACATTGTCAGACCCTACGCTGGTGTATTGGTTCCTGGGTTCCTCCAGGTGCACGACAACGCCCGGCCTCATGTGGTGAAAGTATGCAGGCAGTTCCTGCAGGATGAAGGAATTGATAGCACTGAACGGCCCCCATGTTTGCCTGACCTAAATCCAATAGAACGCCTCTGGGATTTCATGTTTTGGTCCATCCGACGCCACCAGGTTGCACCTTAGACTGTCCAGGAGCTCAGTGATGCCCTGGTCTAGATATGGGAGGAAATACCCCAGGACACAATCTAATGTCTCATTAGAAGCATGCCCCGACATTGACAGGCATGTAAACAAGTACGTGGGGGCCTTACAAACTACGGAGTATCATTCTGAGTTGCTGCAATGAAATTTCAGCAAAATGGACTAGCCTGCTGCATAATTTTTTCACTTTTATTTTTGGGGTGTCTTTGAACTCGGTCATCAGCAGGTTGATAATTTTCATTTCCATCAAACGATGGGGCATCCTTACATTCCTAACACATTACCCAGTCCATATCAGTTTAGATATCCAGCATGATATTTTTCCCCATTGAGATCTGATGTGTTTTCAAAGTGCTCTTTTCATTGTTTTTGAGCATTGAATAAACCAAACTAAAACAAAATTGTGTAATCCCCCCTAACAATTAACACAATTATATCGCAGCAATCAGAATACACCAAATGCATGAAATACCCTTAATTATATAATTGTACATAAATGAAATTTCAACATACAGGTATATTGTAAATCTATATGGCCTCTTTCACATGGACGTCCCAGTCGGGTCAGCCTGCCCGTTTTTCAGACGGACCCAATCGGAACCTCCATTGTTCTCCATGTGTCTGAATGGGGATCTGTTACTCTTCTGTCAGATTGGATGGCAGCACGATGCCAACCACCGTCAGAAATGCTACCACTCATCACACCATATTTACTGGCCCCAGCAATGAAGAGGTCAGATGAACTGAATGTAAATATACCACCACCTGTGAAGATCCCATTACCAGAAAAAATGTGCACTCACCAAACAGTAAACTCCATTATTGCAGAGGTTACATAAAGCTTAAAGATATTTTAGCCAAGTTACAGAATCCTTATCAGGAATGGCAGTTCCCCTCCAGCAGTCAGGGTGATCTGATCTCTCCAATTGCTAGAAATATAACTCCTTCCAATGGATCATATGAAGACCAAGGACACTCTAATGGTGTGGCAAATAACATTTATAAAAATCCAAACAAAACTAAGTATATAAAAGCCTACAGATATGACTAACATAAAACTCTGCTGAGGCAACAGTACTGGTGCATTAAGCTCCTCCCATTGTGTTTCATTCAAAAAGGATGTCATCAGGGCTCATCTGACCTCTTCATTTCTGGGGTCAGTAAATCCGGTGAGTGGTATCGTTTTTCAAGGTGGTTGAAATCGTACATCAAGAGAGATTATAGCTGGAGGACATTGATGATATCCATGTTATTGTGATTGTGGTTCGATACAATTTACGCACCTGGAGCAACTATCAGATCCTGTTCTCAGTAGCCTTGCTTTGAATCTAACTAGCATGGACAATTATTTTATTTTATATTATTACAGTGTTACTAAACCCAGGACTCTGCATTCACAATATTTGGTCTCCCACAGTACACAGAACATGGAAATGCAATTATTTTAGTAAATATAAACTGCTAAATACCTTTTATTATCATCAGTTAGAGCAGTCTTGTGACTTCTATCAATGCCCAACTGAGCACTGGTTAAAGCTTGTGGGAGGAGTTTTCATTATCCCCTGATTGTCCTATAATGCTGCAGGACCCCTTACCCTCTGTGTGGATAGTGCTGATTGGCCATGTGCTGATCACATGCACTCTCCCAAGAAAAAAAAAAAAAACAACTTTTTAGCAATATACACTAAACTGAGCATGTTCAGCTTGCCCCCAAGGCTCTGTACGAACAGCAGATGGATTGGGGAAAGTAGAAGGGGAGGATCAGAGAAGACAGGATCAAATAATCTTTTTTACACAATGTGGAGGATTAACCCCTTAGGTTGCACAATGAGTATAGCAAGCATGCTTTACTGCATATACAGACTCATTTTACTGTTGTGAGTTTAGTAACACTTTAAGACAACGATATACACTTCCAGATGTGTAAACAAACACAAGCATCATATATATTTGCAGACAAATAATTCACCTTTATGGGCTTGTGTTTCCACCACATATCAGCCGCTGAAGCAGAAACTTACATAGTATACTACTGCTTTTAACAGAACCCCTTGGTACCACATACGATAAATAAACTCACATTCTTAGAGTAAATACGGCATGCATGAAGACAACAGCTACTCCTACCCTACACATTTCATTATCCTAACTTCCTCAGGAGCATGGGAAACAGTATGCTCACAAAATTGAACACTATATGCTCAAATGACACAAGACCATGTTAATCACTAGGGACCCTAGCATGTATTAGCAAATTAAATATGCAATATAGCCTTAAAGCAGAACTACACTGTATCTGAACACCACAAACCAAAAGCACTATTTAATTCCTTTTTAATTTTTCACAGTAAATTCCCCCATCCATGTCTCCATACTTTATTTTGCTGAGAAATCACTAGCTGAAAAACATCCCCTAGCATTTCTGACCATGGCCATCTTAAGTATGAGCAAATGATTCATGTAGCATTGACTTCCTGGAACCCATCTGCCCTTAGATCAGGCATGCAGACAGGAGGGTTGTCCTTGGCTGAGAAAACCCCTTCTCCCCTCCTAAAGACTCCTGACATGTATGATATCATTTGCCTAGGCATGGAAACTAGGAAGTATTTAAAGAAATGTAAAAATACCTTTCTGTCCCTTGGCCGGACCAAAGCTGACCCTCTTTTACTTCACTCTTTTTTTTTGTTTCTTTTTTTTCTTATTTCTCCCTTTCTTCATACTTTTTGTTTCCATTATTACGTTTTGATGTATCTGACTTTAGTACCTGACTGCTGTTTGGTCATGCTCAATATTAATCATTTTTCATAGTGAAATATGTACTAGAACTCTGTTCATTGTTGTTTGTTTACCCTTTTTATCTGTGGGTTACACCAGAGGGACTTCTTGGTCCCACATATGTATGCAATGTTCGTTTCCTCAATCTTTAGTATAATGCCAACGTTACCTATGTTCATAAGTGAATTTTGTCCTGAGAGCTCAATATCTCACATCTTTTTGTACTTTCGATTTGTAAATTTGGTCTTTTCAATAACATCATTGAAATATAAAGAAATGTAAAAATTAAAAAAATAGAGTAAACCTGCAGGCAAAATCACGTACATGTACGTAGGTTTGCCTACTTGGGCCAAATATGTAATTTTGCCTGCTCTGTCCACCAGACACAGTGGAATGCGGATCCCGGTACTCAGGGCTTGGTGATCATGTGATCGTGATTGCTATACGATCACATGATCACAATATCAACAAAGTTGTTCTGAATTAATTCATTTATAACAGCTGTGTTGACTATGTTGTGATAGGCCGACAGTTATCACATGGTACCTTAGCCAATAACAGCACCCTGTACCATGTCATTAGCTACAGCCAATCACAGATCACTAGTGATCACAGCCGTCAGTTAAAAACTTTGCTATTCCAATGATCTTCATTGTAACAGCAAGCAAAGTGTAAAAAAAAAAAAAATCCCTGATCACCCCCTCAGAGTAGTACAGTGTTAATATGGTGACACTAAACTACTCTGATGAAAGCATGTAAAAACAATGAAGAAAAAAAAGTTTTTAAATTTTAAAAAATGAAAAAAAAGTTTAACAAGTTGAATTAAAAAAATTTAATTTTTTACTGTCACCAGTAGGGGCATTGATTACGATGATGCTGTACTGCACTGGTGACATGTATGTAAAAAAATTATGACAAAAAGTTTTGACATTCCAAAAAGGGGTCATTTGGGGGGGGAATTTGTACTGTCCTAGCATTTTAGGGTCTCAAGAAATGATTTTGATATATATATATATAGATATATATATATATATATATATATATATATATACACATACATATATATATACATACATACATACATACACACACACTATAATTTGTAGACGCTATAACTTTCACACAAACAAATTAATATACACTTATTGGGATTTTTTCTTACCAAAGACATGTAGCAGAATACATATTTTGACCTAAATTTATTACGAAATTTGATTTTATTGGATATGTTTTATGAAAGTAAAAAATATAGTTTTTTTTTTTAAATTTCGGACTTTATTAGTTTATATTGCAAAAAATAAAAAACTCAGTGGTGATAAAATCCCATCAAAAGAAAGCTCTATTTTTGTGAAAAAAAATTATAAAAATTTAATTTGTGTAAAGTATTGCATGACCTCACAATTGCAAGTTAAAGTAGTGCAGTGCTGGATAGCAAAAAATTCCCTGGTCATGAAGGGGGTAAAACCTTCAGGAGCTCAAGTAGATTTCTAATTATCATTTTAGCATAAAAGTGACCTTATGACAAAAATTAACAGATAAAACTATCATAATGCATCGTGGCAGCAAATTCAGTAGTATATCATACATGCAGAGAAGCATATATAATAATATTACGCAAAGTACTATAAAATACACAGTACACAATACACAGCACAGCAAATACTGTAAAATATAGGTACAAAGTGGCAAAAACAAAATCAAACAGAATAATATACAGTACAATAGCACAATATTATAAGCCCCTTACGACTGAGAGAATCTAATTGATGAATCCAAAATGTCACATTTTTATCTCCCCAGTGAGATTTGAACTCCTCCTTTTGCAAAGCACCCTTTCAAATTCACAGAACTTCAAATCTATAGGGGTCCTTCCATTGCATTGTCTAAAGTATAAAGATAAACTGTGAGTTTTAAGTAAATTTTTATTTTATTGAGCTAATACTCTCTATATATATAATAGTCTAATTGAGCTACTATATAATATAATATAATATAATATAATATGTCTAATTGAGCTATTATAGTCTAGTATCAATTTAGCAGAATTAAAATGGATGAGCATGCACAGTGTGCTGATTCTGCTGTTTCCCATGCTCCTGAGGAAGTTATTATGAACAAATGCGTAGAGTGGGACTAGCTGACATCATCATGCACACTGTATGTAAAAGGTGCTCTGCTGATCTGTGAGAAGGAATTGTGAGCGTTTTGTTTTGTACGATAGCAGCTACACTTTAATGCTGGTTGATATGTACAGTAGTGCAGCACATGCACTCCAGAATGAGAGATTGTTTACTTTACATAGATCTTTTTACTTTTTGTTAAAAGTGGTATTATACTGTGTGAGGTTCTGCTTTGTTTGGGCTTATGTTTGGTTGGGAGGGAAACCTATAAATGAAAAAATATAACGTATTTGCCTATTAATACCTATGAAGCTTGTATTCATTTACATTTTCTCATAGGTCCTGGGTCTAACAAGGTGTTGAGTGGACACAGTTGCAATGTGTATGTAAGAAGATTGTCATCATTCTCATTTCATATTGTTTGATTAGGATCTTTATCATTTTATATGCTAAAATTTTGATTATGGACTGTTGTGTCTCAAAAGTACACAAGACTGTAAACAGGTCATCATCTGCTACTTTATTTTCTGGCTACAAACTAGTGAATTTGGCTTGTAAATCACAACCTATCATCAATTTTGCAGTCAATTCCCTAGCAGCGCTATGACCTGTAGTGTTGTAGAACAGTAGCTATAGCTTCGCTGAAGAGGAATCCCTCATGCACATTTGCCTTTAGGCCATTCTTAAATGTCTGATTAAAACTTTTCCACACCTCCATTGACCTGTGGATGGTTTTGTTTTTGTTAAGAAGTGCTTTATCCCCTTTGATGTAAGTAAAGTCCCAAACTCTCGACATAAATTGCTGACCATTTTCAGTAATGATTTCCAGTGGTAGTCCCAACCCTGAGAATCATCCTCCCAAAGCAGCAATGACATCTCTAGTAGTCATGACTTCTGTTGATTATGACTTCATGAGCTGTAAGCCATAATCATCACAATTATGACAAATCACAGCTTGAACTATCTTGCTTTGCATGTAATGAGTCTATTTCATATATTAGTTTCACCTTTTAAGTTGCATTACTGAAATAAATGAACTTTTGCACGATATTCTAATTTTTCGAGTTTCACCTGTATGCTTTGTTTTCTATACCAGGCCTCTATGCTACTTCTCCTCAAATTTGTTTTTCCTGTACCATACCCAGATAACTTTCATGAGCCATTCCTTGAACTGGTTGTTTCTAATTGCCCAGTGACACAGTTTAAAAATATATCTGATTGCTTCCAATTGTATACATTTGCAGGTCACCATTCTCCTGATCTGCTTGCTTTAAGCTATCAACTGATGTACTTGGGGTGAAATTGCAACATTTATCAAAGTGCTTATCAAATATACCATCAGTACAGACACAAATCTGCTAATTGCATACAAAAAGCTGATCTCTTGTCAGTAACTCAATACCCTGGTTAATGTTTTGCACCAACAGTTTTCAGAGGGTTAACATTGCTTTAACATACTGTATAAATCT